TTTGTTCACAGATTTGGTTTGTTATATATTATTATTTTCAGGTTTTTTAAAAATAAATACAGGATTTATGTATTTTTAAAAAATTTATTTTTTAATTTTTTAMAAAWTAGCGACGGATTAGCGAGGGAAAATCCGTCACTGAAAGTGCTTGAATTTCCCTCGCAAATCCGTCGTTGAAAGTTCCTTGCAAATCCGTCACTGAAAGTTCCCTCGCAAATCTGTCGCTGAAAGTTCCCTCGCAAATCTGTCGCTGAAAGTTCCCTCGCAAATCCGTCGCTAAAAGTTCCCTCGCAAATCCGTCGCTGATCCGTTGCTAAATACATCCCTCACTGATCCGTCGCTGAAAGTGTCCGTCGCAAATCCGTCGCTGAAAGTGTCCGTCGCAAATCCGTCGCTGATTTCCGCCGCTGATCCGTCGCTGATAGCATTACCTACGACTGTTTGACCGACGGAGTATCAGCGACGGATCAACGACAGAAACCCCTTTCAGCAACGGATCAGCGAGGGAATTTTCTCTCGCTGATACCCAGCATTTTTGTAGTGCGCAAGTCAACATAGGTCAAATTCATATATGTTTTTTATTCATTTTTCAATTTTGTAAATATAAGGAAAAAGTTCAGAACAATTTAATTAACTTTTTTATTTTGATTAATTAATCTTTTAAGTTATTTTTTTGGATGATAAAATTATTGAAATTTTCATTTTAAATAATTTTAAATTTTGTAAATAAACTATTGAACTTTTAAAAATTGGTCACATATATTTGTTTTAATCAAAAAATTTACTTGTAACCGGCTAGTAATGTTATAAAGTAAAAAACTTAAATTAATCTTACTATTCCCAAACTCTATGTCATTCTAACCTCTCGAATCCAATGACATCACTCCCCCTCCTTACACCTCACCACCCCCATCGTCGTCTGTTCTTCGTACCATTTGTCGTCGCCATTGGGTGCTTCCATCGATCTCCCTATTTTTTATCCGTTCTTTTTTTGTCTTTCGGTTTTCCATATACATAGATCAAAAAAGAGGGAGAATCAAAGGAAAAAAAAGGATAAAAAAAGAGGGAGTATGATGGCAGGGCAATGGTAGTGATGGACGATATCAAGAACGTAAGACGATAGGATGACGAGGGGTAAGGAGAGGGATGTCGTTGGGTGAGACGAGTTTGGGACTAGAAAAACTGATTAACGCTTTTTTACGTTAAAACCTTCCTTCTGGTTACATGTAGCTTTTGTAGGTAAAAAGATTTTATTTAACCAGTTTTTGTTCTTTGATTCTCCCTAAACCCTAAACCCAAATTTTACAAGTTTGATGTTTTATTTATGTGAAAAGTCCAAAAAAAAAAACTCAACAAACATTCTCATTTTGAATGATTTAGTTCTTAAACTATTTTTTACAATGAAAAAACCATTAAACTTTTTTCATTTTGAATGATTTAGTCCCTAAACTATTCTTTTAAATGAAAAAACCATTAAACCTTTTTCATTTTGAATGATTTAGTCCCTAAACTATTCTTTTAAATGAAAAATCATTGAACATTTTCATTTTGAATGGTTTAGTTCTTAAACTATTTTTTAAATGAAAGAATCATTTAAAATGATCAAGTCCCTGAACTATTTTTTTTTTGTATGAAAAAACCATTAAACTTTCACATTTTGCATAATTAAGACCATGATATTTTTCAAAAAATAAATAAACCATCGAACTTTTACTAGTCAGTTAATGTAACTTTTTTTGCCTAAAAGAATGTAGGTAACCAATTTTAAAAGTATGATGGTTTATTTTTTATAAAAAATGTTCAGGGACATAATCAATCAAAATGAGAAAGTTTAATGGTTTTTCATTAAAAAAAACTAGTTTAAGGATTTAATCTTTTAAAATAAAAAGTTTAATGGTTTTTTCATTCAAGAAAATAGTTTAAGAATTAAACCATTCAAAATGAAAAAGTTTTTTAGGTTTTTCTAAACATTTCCCTTTATTAATTAAAAAAAACATGTCCGAAAACTTAATTATTCAAAATGAGAAAATTCAATTTTTTCATTAAAAAATCAACTATATAATTATTTAAAATAGGACAGTTCATTGAGTTTTCTGAACCAATCGCTATAATTTGCTAATATATTAAATATTAGGGTGTTCATCTAAACCTCCAAATCTCACAAACCGCCCACATTGCATCACAAAATGTGGTTTACAACTTTCGCAGTGTAGTTTGCATGTTGCATTTTCATCAATCACACTTTATGGTGTAGTTTACGGTTTTGAGTCATCAAATCGCAGTTCAAACCACAACGCATGCTTTGGATATTTTTATATATGTTTTAAATATATATTTATACATATAATTATTTATATAATGAAAATAATTAACACATCATTGATGATTTATTAATTTTTCACTTTTCTTTCAAGTTTTAAGGTTACAAAATCATTTTTTGAGTTATTTTCATTTGCCTTTTATCAAACATCGTGGTCGAAATAATTTTAGATAATTTGAACTAATTACCGAACTATTTAGTTTGCATTATAGGAACATCACCGTCGAAATTATTATGATGATGTGATTGTCAATGGCGTAAGCAGAATTTTAATTGACAGGGGGTATGAAGATCTCAAATTTAGCTTGATGATTGAAGTTATATAAACAAGAGGTTAACGTGAAATATGCGATCAATTGTTGGTTCTCTTAAGTCTCGTAAAAATTTGTGAGGAATTTCAGTTGTAACGTGTGGAGATAGAAAAACAAAAAAAAAAAGGTATGAATGTCGTGACTTTTGTTTGCAAAATATTGGAAGAGATGCAGATATAACATATCATAATGTTTATATACAGAAGACAAAAACATATTTTTATCAGAGTCATCAGTTTATTAATTTTATCAAGAATCACATATAAATATCTGTGACCATCTAGAAAAGAAAGCAGTCTACTAAATCTATGAGTTAAGCTTAAGCAATTAATGGACAGACCAGATCACATAAGACTACCGTGATGAACTGTTGACGCTAGTCCTACATTTTGTCTTTTTGGATCGAGGAGAACATATAGAGGTGAAAAATAGATTTTATGAAGTGGAGGATAAAAGATAAGGTTATTAAAATCTATGGTTCAAAATGTAATATTAAAAAAACTTGATTTATATTTTTTAAAATTTGTTTAATAACATCATTTTAATTTAATTTATTTTGATTTTTAATGTAATAATCTTTTTATAAATGAAAAAGAATTAAAAAAAAAGTTGTTAATAATAATCTATACTATATTATAAAACATTTGGCAGAAACTATTAAAAACCATTTTTTATGCATAAAAAACTGTTTATTGATGCACATTACTTAAAATTCAAGACTACAAGTAAATTGAGCGTATGTATAACTTATTAAAGCTTCATGTTTGAATTCGTGTAACTAACTGCAGATAAGTATAATCAAATACTGGATAAGTATTTCATTTTAAATATAAAAAGACTAAAATATATTTAGGATAATTATTGA